TAAAGCTATTTGAATTTAATTGAAAAAAAGAGAACTAAAGAGAGCGAGAGAGAAAGAGCGAGAGAGAGAGACAGAGAGAGTGAGAGACAGAGTGAGAGACAGAGAGAGTAAGAGACAGAGAGAGTGACAGACAGAGAGAGTGAGAGAAAGACGATAGAGAGAAGAGATGGGAGAGCAGAGAGAGAGAGAGAGAGAGAGAGAGAGAAGAGAGGGATAGACGCCGATGAGAGAAGAGAGGGACCCCCGCGTCAGAGAGAGCAGAGAGAGAGAGAGAGAGAATGAGACGAGGAGAGAGAGAGAGAGAGAGAGGAGAGAGAGAGAGAGAGAGGGAGAGAGAGAGAGAGAGAGAGAGAGAGAGACAGAGAGAGAGAGAGAGAGAGAGAGAGAGACGAGAGAGAGAGAGAGAGGAGGAGAGAGAGTGAGAAGAGAGTGAGAGAGAGAGAGAGAGAAGCGAGAGAGAGAGAGAGAGAGAGAGAGAGAAGAGAGAGAGAGAGAGAGAGGGGGATAGAGAGGAGAGGGGGGAGAGAGAGATTAATTAAATTGAGATGATCCGCTGAGTATGAGGTAGGAATCAATTATTATATTTTTGGGTATTTTATCCTGCAGTGGGAACATACTGCATCTCCAACTGTTCATGTTTTCTTCTTTGTAAATTCCCCACATCCCATTCCATGCAGTGTTTATGGTAATACATATGGAGTGGAGAGTGGATTCTAAGAATCATATCATGTGTTATGTGTGTTATGTTAAAGGCATTATGGATAAAGTATAGTAAAACTCTGTGTCTGTTGTATGGCCTCCAGCTGCCCTGGGCACTTCTGGTATAACATGTCTCCTGACACAATGTGTGTGTCCCAGGAAGTTGTTCTCTTCACACTTTTCCATCTCTGCTGTAACGTAATGTGCTTCTGGATTGTTGTGATTGTTCCAATGACTGAGGCAGGCTGCACAGCTGTCCTGTCCTGTTCTCTTCTGATCTGATCTGTTCTATTATGTTCTATTCTGTTCTATTCTGTTATATTCTGTTCTATTCTGCTCTATTCTGTTCTATTCTGTTCTATTCTGTTCTGTTCTATTCTGCTCTATTCTGTTCTAATCTGCTCTATTCTGTTCTATTCTACTCTATTCTGTTCTATTCTGCTCTGTTCTGTTCTATTGTGCTCTGTTCTGTCCTGTTCTGCTCTATTCTGTTCTGTTCTATTCTATTCTGCTCTGTTCTGTTCTATTCTGCTCTGTTCTGTTCTGTTCTGCTCTATTCTGTTCTGTTCTGTTCTATTCTGCTCTATTCTGTTCTATTCTGCTCTGTTCTGTTCTGTTCTATTCTGCTCTGTTCTGTTCTGTTCTGCTCTATTCTGTTCTGTTCTGTTCTATTCTGCTCTATTCTGTTCTATTCTGCTCTGTTCTGTTCTATTCTGCTCTGTTCTGTTCTGTTCTGCTCTATTCTGTTCTATTATATTCTGCTCTGTTCTGTTCTATTCAGCTCTTTTCTGTTCTGTTCTGCTCTATTCTGTTCTGTTCTGTTCTATTCTGCTCTATTCTGTTCTATTCTGTTCTATTCTGTTCTATTCTGTTCTATTCTGCTCTATTCTGCTCTATTCTGTTCTATTCTGCTCTATTCTGTTCAGTTCTGTTCTGTTCTGTTCTGCTCTATTCTGTTCTGATCTGTTCTATTCTGCTCTGTTCTGTTCTATTCTGCTCTATTCTGTTCTGTTCTGTTCTGTTCTGTTCTGCTCTATTCTGTTCTGATCTGTCCTATTCTGCTCTGTTCTGTTCTATTCTGCTCTATTCTGTTCTGCTCTATTCTGCTCTATTCTATTCTGTTCTATTCTGCTCTATTCTGTTCTGTTCTATTCTGCTCTATTCTGTTCTGTTCTATTCTGTTCTATTCTGATCTGATCTGTTCTATTCTATTCTGATCTGTTCTATTCTGCTCTATTCTGTTCTATTCTGTTCTGTTCTGCTCTGTTCTATGCTATTTATTCCAGTCTGCAGAGCTCTCCTTGTGTATCTATTCTATTAAAGTCTACTGTGTTCTAATCGGTTCTGTTCTATTGTATTCTATTCTATTCTATTTGACTGACATGCTCAAGGAGCTCTCCACTAGAGGTCGTCTCTGTACTGAGAGACAGTCTGCTGCAACAGACAGTGCTGATGTGATGTGCATACAGTCCAGATCTGTCTGCCTCTCCTTCTCCACTACCATTTTATCTCTCTCTGTTTTTCTGTTCAGTCATACCTGCTGCTTGTTCTCTATCTCAAGGCTGAAATAAAGGCTGACTATGACTTACAGCACAATGACTGTGGAACTTTAACATAATGTTTCCGGTATGAGGGACAATGTACTAAACATACAAAACATGACATGAATCCAAAAAGATTAGGCAAGGTCAGTGTTTTCAAAATACTGTACTTACACGAGCACCTAGTGAATTCATCCACATAGCGACAGCTACAGTATATTGTAACCACCCCTCTAGCTGGTTCAGAACACATGTAGAGCTATGACCACCTAGCTAATAAAAAAACAAAAAAAAACATAGATTCAGCTTTGACTGGTGAGTCGTAGTATGGAAATAACACTGCAGTATTCAGCATCATGATCTGTCACTGTCCAAGACTACTGCAGTATTCAGCATCATTATCTGTCACTGTCCAAGACTACTGCAGTATTCAGCATCATGATCTGTCACTGTCCAAGACTACTGCAGTATTCAGCATCATTATCGGTCACTGTCCAAGACTACTGCAGTATTCAGCATCATTATCTGTCACTGTCCAAGACTACTGCAGTATTCAGCATCATTATCTGTCACTGTCCAATACTACTGCAGTATTCAGCATCATGATCTGTCACTGTCAAAGACTACTGCAGTATTCAGCATCATGATCTGTCACTGTCCAAGACTACTGCAGTATTCAGCATCATGATCTGTCACTGTCCAAGACTACTGCAGTATTCAGCATCATGATCTGTTACTGTCAAAGACTACTGCAGTATTCAGCATCATAATGATATAAAGAGGCAGGACACAGACGCAGGAATCAACAATGTAAAGGTTTACTTAACACTGAGCAAGAGAACAACGAAGAGCGAGTACACGACCAGACACTAACAATCACACACAACACAACACGGAACAGTCCAGGGCTATATAGGGCTGGTGATGAGATGATGAGGTACAGGTGCGCTGGAGGTGATTAGGGTGCGTTGGGTTTCCATTCCGGTGTTGCCGAGGTGGTGCGCTCAGACCGGTGGCTCAGTAGACCGGCGAATCAGAGCGCGGGAGGGGAGCAACAGGAGGAGACACCGCATTCTTATTGGCAGACTAAAAAGTATTGGTTTCTCAAATGACTGCCTCGCCTGGTTCACCAACTACTTCTCAGATAGAGTTCAATGTGTCAAATCGGAGGGCCTGTTGTCTGGACCTCTGGCAGTCTCTATGGGGGTGCCACAGGGTTCAATTCTCGGGCCGACTCTATTCTCTGTGTATATCAATGATGTCGCTCTTGCTGCTGGTGACTCTGAGATCCACCTCTACGCAGATGACACCATTTTGTATACATCTGGCCCTTCATTGGACACTGTGTTAACAAACCTCCAAACGAGCTTCAATGCCATACAACACTCTTTCCGTAGCCTCCAACTGCTCTTAAACGCTAGTAAAACTAAATGCATGCTCTTCAATCGAACGCTGCTTGCACCTGCCCGCCCAACTAGAATCACTACTCTCGGCGGGTCCGACTTAGAATATGTGGACAACTACAAATACCTAGGTGTCTGGTTAGACCGTAAGCTCTCCTTCCAGACTCACATTAAGCATCTCCAATCCAAAGTTAAATCTAGAATCGGCTTCCTATTTCACAACAAAGCCTCCTTCACTCATGCTGCCAAACATGCCCTCGTAAAACTGACTATCCTACCGATCCTTGACTTCGACGATGTCATTTACAAAATAGCCTCCAACACTCTACTCAGCAAATTGGATGTAATCTATCACAGTGCCATCCGTTTTGTCATCAAAGCCCCATACAGTAACCACAATTGTGACCTGTACGCTCTTGTTGGCTGGCCCTCACTACATATTCGTCGCCAAACCCACTGGCTCCAGGTCATCTATAAATCACTGCTAGGCAAATCCCTGCCTTATCTTAGCTCATTGGTCACCATAGCAACACCCATCCGTAGTATGCGCTCTAGCAGTTATATCTCACTGGTCATCCCCAAAGCCAACACCTCCTTTGGCCCCCATAACTTCCAGTTCTCTGCTGCCAATGACTGGAACGAACTGCAAAAATCTCTGAAGCTGGAGACTCTTATCTCCCTCACTAACTTTAAGCATCAGTTGTCAGAGCAGCTTACCGATCACTGCACCTGTACACAGCCCATCTGTAATTAGCCCACCCAACTACCTCATCCCCATATTGTTATTTATTTTGCTCATTTGCACCCCAGTATCTCTATTTGCACATCATCTTCTGCACATCTATCACTCCAGTATTAATACTAAATTGTAATTATTTTGCACTATGGCCTATTTATTGCCTTACCTCCATAACTTACTACATTTGCACACACTGTATATAGATTTTCTATTGTGTTTTTGACTGTATGTTTTGTTTATCCCATATGTAACTCTGTGTTGTTGTTTTTATCGCACTGCTTTGCTTTATCTTGGCCAGGTCGCAGTTGTAAATGAGAACTTGCTCTTAACTGGCTTACCTGGTTAAATAAAATAAAATAAAATAAAAAAATAAAAAAACATGACAGTACCGCCCCCGGACGTCCCGAGGATGAGGAGCGGGCCGGTCAGGGTGGCGACGGTGGAAGTCCCGAATTAGGTTGGGATCCAGAACGTCCCCAGCCGGAACCCAGCTCCTCCCCTCAGGACCATACCCTTCCCAGTCCACCAGGTAACGGAGCCGTCTCCCACGGAACCTGGAGTCCAGCAGGTCCCTCACCGCATACGCCGGACTCCCGTCAATGTCCAGGAGCGGGGGGGGGTGTACCCCGGGGGACGGCATCAGCCAGAGGATCAGGAATCACCGGCCTCAGGAGAGACACATGAAAAGTGGGTGAGACACGGTAGTGAGGCGAAGGAGCAGCCGGTACGATACCCTATTTTCCGCCGGAGGACCTTAAACGGCCCCACAAACCAGGGGCTCAGTTTCTTTCAGGGCAGGCGGAGAGGGATGTTTTCAATGGACAGCCAGACACGATCACCAAGCTTGAATACGGGGGCCTCACTGTGGTGGCGGTCAGCTTGGTATTTCTGCTGACGAATGGCCCTCCGGAGATGGACATGGGCGACGTCCCAGACCTGTCCGGCTTTGCGGAACCATTAGTCGACAGCGGGCGGATCGGTCTGGCTGGGTGTCCAAGGGGCCAGCTGGTACCCAAGGACGCACTGGAAGGGAGTGAGCCCCGTGAAGGAGTGAACGAGGGAGTTCTGGGCATATTCTGCTCAGAGAAGAAACCTCGCCCACTCACCCTGCCGGTCCTGACAGTGGCAACGGAGAAACCTCCCCAGCTCCTGGTTCATGTGCTCCACCTGCCGATTCGACTGAGGCCTATACCCGGAAGTGAGGCTGGCCATGGCCCCGATCTTCTCCAGGAAAGCCTTCCACACTCAGGAGGTGAATTGGGGGCCACGGTCCGATATAATGTCCTCTGGAAGTCCATAATGCCGGAAGACCTGTTGGAACAGGACCTCAGCGACCTGGAGAGCAGAAGGAAGACCAGTTAGTGGCAAAAAACGGCATGATTTGGAGAACCAATCTACGACCACCAGGACTGTGGTGAAGCCGTCAGAACGTGGGAGGTTGGTGACAAAGTCTATGGACAGGTGTGACCAAGGTCACTGAGGCACTGGGAGAGGAACTAGTTTGCCTGCCGGGGCGTTCCGAGGTGTCTTTGTTTGGGCACATACGGAACAGGAGTTGATATAGCAGGAGACATCAGTAGCCAAGATGACCACCAGTATTTTTGCGAGAGAGAATGTAGGGTGAGCGTAATACCGGACTGCCCTGCCATTAGGGTGGTGTGCGCCCAGATCAGCAGGCGGTCACGGACCCTGGTGGGTACATACCCACGCCTCGGAGGGGCGTTGGCAGGCGCTGGGTCCTTCTGAGCCGCCCGGCGGATGTCTTCATCCACATCCCAAACAACAGGTGCCACGATGAGTGACGGAGGCAGGATAGAACCCCCCAGATCCTTCCTTTCTCCGGTATGGTGCATTCTGGAGTGTGCGTCGGCTTTCACATTCTGGGATCCTGGGCAGTAGGACAGAATGAACTGAAAGCGAGTAAGAAATTGGGCCCACCTGGCTTGACGAGAGTTCATCCGTTTTGCTGCCCGTATGTGCTCCAAATTCAGGTGGTCAGTGACAATCCGGAATGGATGGACTGCGCCCTCCAACCAGTGTCTCCATTCCTACAGAGCAAGGACCACCGCCAACAGCTCCCTGTCTCCAACTCCATAGTTCCTCTCTGCGGGAGTAAGCTTTTTCAAGAAAAAGGCACAGGGATACATTTTCTCTGGCTTACCTTGCCGCTGGGAGAGGACCCCACCCACGCCCTCCTCAAATGTGTCCACCTCCAGGATGAAAGGACAAGCTGGATCTGGATGTTTTAGGATGGGCGCTGTGGTAAACCTCTTTTTCAGCCTCTTGAAAGCAGCGTCAACCTCAGGGTTCCAGGCCAGTTTCTGAGGCCCACCCTTAAGGAGAGAGGTGAGAGGGGCGGCTATGGAGCTGAAGGACCTGATGAAATGCCGGTAGAAATTTGCGAAGCCCAGGAAGCTCTGTAGGCCCTTGATGGTGGTGGGGACTGGCCATGACCTGAAGGCATCCGTCTTCGCTCTTTCCATGAACACCCCCTGAGGACTGATCCTGTATCCCAGGAAGGAGATGGCCTGTTGGTGGAATTCGCATTTCTCCCCCTTCACCAACAGGCTGTGTTCCCGGAGGCGGAGTAGGACCGCTCGGACGTCCCTGACGTGCTCCTCGAACATAGCCAAGTAGATCAGGATATTGTCGATGTACACCACCACCTGTCTACTCAGCATGTCTTGGAACATGTCATTGACGAAGGACTGGAACACGGAAGGTGCATTGGCGAGGCCGTAGGGCATGACGCAGTATTTATAGTAGCCTGAGGTAGTGCTGAATGCCGTCTTCCACTCGTCTCCTTCCCGGATTCGGATCAGGTTGTAGGCACTCCTCAGGTCCAACTTTGTAAAGTACCGGGCCCCTCGCAGCTGCTCGATGGCCGACGGAACCAGAGGGAGGGGGTACCGGTACTTGGTGGTGACTGCGTTCAGCCCCCAGTAGTCAATGCACGGCCTCAGTCCTCTGTCTTTTTTGGCCACGAAGAAGAAGCTGACGGAGGCAGGAAAGGTAGAGCGTCTGATGAACCCCTGTTTCAGGGTCTCCGCCACATACTTCTCCATGGCCTCAGTCTCCGCTATGGAGAGGGAGTAAATGCGACTCTTCGGGGGGTGTTGTCCCTCCAGCAGGTCAATGGCGCAGTCCCAGGGCCTGTGAGGAGGAAGACACTTAGCCTTGGAGGCAGAGAAGAAATCGGAGAGATCTGCGTACTCACGTGAAATGTTGGGCTGGAGGGCGGACTCCGGACTCTCCACTAACGTGGAACTACAAACCACCGGCAGGTAGGTCCTCCGGCATGAGGGGGACCAGGCTGTGATCCTCTTGGTGATCCAATTGATAGTGGGGTTGTGTAGTCTGAGCCAGGGCAATCCCAAGACGATCCGGTGAAGGGGTGACATGACGATGTGGAATGACAGCTCCTCGTGGTGCTCCGGTAGTGTGGGAATGGTGATGGTGATGGGGAGAGTGACGTGCGTAATGCCTGATCCAAGTGGTTTATTGTCTAGCGAGGTGACGTGTAGCGGAGAAGGCAATGGCACTGTGGGCAACCCCCAATCAGAGACCAACTCCCTATCAATAAGGTTCCCCACTGATCCGGAATCTATCATTGCCGTGGAAAGTGAAGTGAAGGAAGAACCATTCACCGTTAGGGGAACTAAAAACAATGGTTTGGTGACAGGTGATGACGGAACACTCACAGAGCAGCGACGGGAGTCATACTGCCTAGATAGGGAGCCGCCAGGAGATCTGTGGTCCGTGGTGGTGTAGGGGATTCTGCCCACCTCCATGGGTGAGGACTCGGAGGCAGGGCGGCTTCCATAGCTCAGATGGGGTGAGCGTCGAGGCTCCGGGAGGTGTTGGGAACGCTGTCGGTCTCTCAACATGTCGTAAAGACGAATAGACGTGGCGATGAGGGTATCAAGATCCATCTTGTTGTCCCGACATCCGAGTTCCGTCGTGATGTCCTCCCGTAAGCCTCTCCTGAAGGCCGTACTCGAACTCGGCCTCCTCTCCCTGTTGTTTCCCTCCGTGGGATGATCGAACACCTCCCTGAACCGAGCGAGGAAGGTGGAGTAGGGAAGCGCCGCGGCCTCACCTCCTTCCCAGACTGCCGTGGCTCAATCCAGCGCCTTTCCCTTCAGTAGCGAAATCACCAGCACTATCCTGGCTTGGTCCGATGGAGATGCCCCACGCTGACGCACCAGATACAGTGAGACCTGTAGCAGGAAGCCTCTCCGGCAGGGCGAGGGGTCCCTCAGACGTTGGTGATAGCACAGGTGGAGGGGGACTGGGTGCACTCGCCGCTCCCTGAGGTGGAACCGGAGCGATGGTCAGTTTATGCAGCGTTTGGAGCACTTCCTGTATGGCTGCGTTTAGCTGGGCAATCTGCTGCTGGTGCTAGATTGTGGCGCTGGGAAACTCCAGGAGGATTACCTGCTGCATCTATCTTCGTGATTGGTGTGTGATTCTGTGACGAGTACTGAGGATACGAAGAAGCAGGAAGCAGAAACAGGAATCAACAATGTAAAGGTTTACTTAACACTTTGGAAGAGAACAACGAAGTGCGAGTACACGACCAGACACTAACAATCACACACAACACAACACTGAACAGTCCAGGGCTATATAGGGGGTGGTGATGAGATGACGAGGTGCAGGTGCGCTGGAGGTGATTAGGGTGCGTTGGGTTTCCATTCCGGTGTTGCCGAGGTGGTGCGCTCAGACCGGTGGCTCAGTAGAACGGCGAATCAGAGCGCAGGAGGGGAGCAACGGGAGGAGACGTGACACCAAGACTACTGCAGTATTCAGCATCATGATCTGTCACTGTCCAAGACTACTGCAGTATTCAGCATCATGATCTGTCACTGTCCAAGACTACTGCAGTGCATGAGTGAGTGAGATCCTGCTAGCTAGCTATATTCCTGCAGTCTGCCTGTCCGCCTATCTGTCTGTCTGTCTGTATGTGTTTGCCTGCCTGTCTGCCTGTCTGTCTGTCTGCCTGTCTGTCTGTCTCTGTCTGTCTGTCTGCCTGTCTGTCTGTGTCTGTCTGTCTGTCTGTCCTCTAACTGGTCTCTAGTTCTCTTTCTCTCATACCTCATCAACACATGCACATGCACACACACACACACACACACACACACACACCACACACACACACACACACACACACACACACACAAACACACACACAAACACAAGACCTCTCTTCTCCATGACCTCAGTGATATGGATATGTCCCACTAAGAGCCCTGGGCTGGTGAGATAGATGTGCTGCACAGCACTCTGGGAAGGATCACTTACACCTTATTGGAAAGCAGCAGAGTGGATAAAAGTGTGAAGGATGACATGCTGGGTAGGGGCTCGGGGCTGGGGGTCAGTGTGTGTGTGTGTGTGTGTGTGTGTGTGTGTGTGTGTGTGTGTGTGTGTGTGTGTGTGTGTGTGTGTGTGTGTGAGTGCAGGCCTTTGCAGAGAAGCTGCTTAAATACCAGCCCCTCGTGGCATGCTTGGACAGCCTCGGGTGTAGGTGCAAGCTGGTGGCGCTGATATTTGTCCATAGGCTTTCAGTGTGTGGCCTCCAGACCAAAAAGTAGGGCAAAGCAGTTGACTAGGTTCTACTCTGTTTCAGCTGTCGTGGGCAGCCTCGCTGTTTGGAGAAGGAGGTGCTTTCTGTACCCTTGAGTGCCATGCATACAGGGACCTTTGAAATGTTTGGATCCTTTTTAAATGTAAATGTGATTGGTGGATTTGAATAAGATATTTAAAATGTGTGTGTGTGTGTGTGTGTGTGTGTGTGTGTGTGTGTGTGTGTGAGAGAGAGGGGCAGCGGAGACTTCACAGACCACCTCTCATCTCACCTCTACATAATCTAACCAAATACCCAGAGAGCACAGAGCCTGTCTCTAAGGATCTCCAAGGATACCTCACCCTAATACAGAGAGCACAGAGCCTGTCTCCAAGGATCTCCAAGGATACCTCATCCTAATACAGAGAGCACAGAGCCTGTCTCCAAGGATCTCCAAGGATACCTCATCCTAATACAGAGAGCACAGAGCCTGTCTCCAAGGATCTCCAAGGATACCTCATCCTAATACAGAGAGCACAGAGCCTGTCTCCAAGGATCTCCAAGGATACCTCATCCTAATACAGAGAGCACAGAGCCTGTCTCCAAGGATCTCCAAGGATACCTCATCCTAATACAGAGAGCACAGAGCCTGTCTCCAAGGATCTCCAAGGATACCTCATCCTAATACAGAGAGCACAGAGCCTGTCTCCAAGGATCTCCAAGGATACCTCATCCTAATACAGAGAGCACAGAGCCTGTCTCCAAGGATCTCCAAGGATAGAGATAGAGACACAGAGAGAGAGCGAGAGAGAGACACAGAGAGAGATAGAGACACAGAGAGAGAGCGAGAGAGAGACACAGAGATAGTTAGAGAGAGAGAGAGAGAGAGAGAGAGAGAGAGAGAGAGAGAGAGAGAGAGAGAGAGAGAGAGAGAGAGAGCGAGAGAGAGAGAGAGACTGTGATACCTCTCACCTGACTGCCACAGAACCACAGTAACTACAGTCCAGGACTCCCTCCAGTCAATTTCAGCTGATTAGCTCCTAGCCAGCATAATCACTTCACTGCCACCCCCTGCTCTGATCCAATCCCTTTGGTGCCAATGGTAACAAAAGGTTCAACCTGTTCTGGTCTGTTTGTGTTCTGCCTCACTGCACTGAAAGACAAGGGAAGACTGCCATTCTCCACAGGGCTATGATGTTGAATATGAGGACTTTTCTTCAAGGATTGACTGTCATATTTGTTTTAAAACCAGCATTTTAGACGACAACTAGTTCACAAATACAGTAGATGCATTTTCTGAACATCTCAGCTTAAAGTAGAGTTAAATCAATCAATTATTAAATCAATCAATACATCAATCAATCAAACATTTCAAACAAATGTATCTAAAGCCCTACTTCCAGTTCGCAGCTAGCGACTGGAACGAGCTGCAAAAAACACTCAAACTGGACAGTTTTATCTCCATCTCTTCATTCAAAGACTCAATCATGGACACTCTTACTGACACTTGTGGCTGCTTCCGTGATGTATTGTTGTCTCTACCTTATTGCCCTATGTGCTGTTGTCTGTGCCCAATAATGTCTGTACCATGTCTAGTGCTGCTACCATGTTGTGCTGCTGCCATGTTGTGTTGCTACCATGTTGTTGTCATGCTGTGTTGCTACCATGTTGTTGTCATGTTGTGTTGCTATCATGTTGTTGTCATGTTGTGTTGCTACCATGTGTTGTCATGTTGTTTGCACCATGTTGTTGTCATGTGGTGTTGCTATCATGTGTTGTCATGTGTTGCTGCCATGCTATGTTGTTGTCTTAGTCTCCTTTATTATGTTGTTTGTCTCTCTTTTGTAGTGTTGTGTTGTCTCTCTTTATGTAGTGTTGTGTGTCTCTCTTTATGTAGTGTTGTGGTTGTCCTTCTTTATGTAGTGTTGTGGTGTCTCTCTTTATGTATGTTTGTGGTGTTCTCTCTTTTTGTAGTGTTGTGGTGTCTCTCTTTATGTAGTGTTGTGGTCTCTCTTTATGTATGTTGTGTGTGTCTCTCTTTATGTAGTGTTGTGGTGTCTCTCTTTATGTAGTGTTGTGGTGGTGTCTCTCTTTATGTAGTGTTGTGGTGTCCTCTCTTATGTAGTGTTTGTGGTGTCTCTCTTTATGTAGTGTTTGTGGTGTCCTCTTTATGTAGTGTTGTGGTGTCTCTCTTTATGTAGTGTTGTGGGTGTCCTCTCTTTATGTAGTGTTGTGGTGTCCTCTTTATGTAGTGTTGTGTGGTCTCTCTTTATGTAGTTGTTGTGGTGTCTCTCCTTTATGTAGTGTTGTGGTGTCTCTCTTTATGTAGTGTTGTGGTGTCTCTCTTTATGTAGTGTTGTGGTGTCTCTCTATATGTAGTGTTGTGGTGTCTCTCTTTATGGTAGTGTTGTGGTGTCTCTCTTTATGTAGTGTTGTGGTGTCTCTCTTTATGTAGTGTTGTGGTGTCTCTTTATGTAGTGTTGTGGTGTCTCTCTTTATGTAGTGTTGTGGTGTCTCTCTTTATGTAGTGTTGTGGTGTCTCTCTTTATGTAGTGTTGTGGTGTCTCTCTTTATGTAGTGTTGTGGTGTCTCTTTATGTAGTGTTGTGGTGTCTTTCTTTATGTAGTGTTGTGGTGTCTCTCTTTATGTAGTGTTGTGGTGTCTCTCTTTATGTAGTGTTGTGGTGTCTCTCTTTATGTAGTGTTGTGTTGTCTCTCTTTATGTAGTGTTGTGGCGTCTCTCTTTATGTAGTGTTGTGGGTGTCTCTTTATGTAGTGTTGTGGTGTCTCTTTATGTAGTGTTGTGGTGTCTCTTTATGTAGTGTTGTGGTGTCTCTCTTTATGTAGTGTTGTGGTGTCTCTCTTTATGTAGTGTTGTGTTGTCTCTCTTTATGTAGTGTTGTGGCGTCTCTCTTTATGTAGTGTTGTGGTGTCTCTTTATGTAGTGTTGTGGTGTCTCTCTTTATGTAGTGTTGTGGTGTCTCTCTTTATGTAGTGTTGTGGTGTCTCTCTTTATGTAGTGTTGTGGTGTCTCTCTTTATGTAGTGTTGTGGTGTCTCTCTTTATGTAGTGTTGTGGTGTCTCTCTTTATGTAGTGTTGTGGTGTCTCTCTTTATGTAGTGTTGTGGCGTCTCTCTTTATGTAGTGTTGTGGTCTCTCTTTATGTAGTGTTGTGGTCTCTCTCTTTATGTAGTGTTGTGGTCTCTCTTTATGTAGTGTTGTGGTGTCTCTCTTTATGTAGTGTTTGGTGTCTCTCTTGTTGTGATGTGTGTTTGGTCCTATATTTATTTTTTATGTTTTTAATCCCAGCCCCCGTCCCCGCAGGAGGACTTTTGCCTTTTGGTAGGCCGTCATTGTAAATAAGAATTTGTTCTTAACTGACTTGCCTAGTTAAATAAGGGTTAAATAAATAAATAAAAAATATTTAAAAAAACATAGCTATATCAACATTTATTACAATGTGCTTTCATAACCTTAATGCTTAACAGTCAAGTTCAATTTCACTTGTGGAAAATGAGTAAGGAGAATGAAACATTAACAGCAAGCAGCTCCATAGTTAGTGAGTTTTCTATTCTGACTTCTTCAGCGTTCAACTTCTGCCTCATTTCCATAGTAAACAATTTAGACTGTGTGACGGGGAAGCATAAGGGGCTAATGAGCCCAACAGAGCAAGACACAGCCATTTCTGTTGTGATTGCATTTTTTCCAATGACAAAAGCCTTACAAATGCACATTCTTCCTCAAAACAAATGCAACCAGATTGCTTTAACATAAGGCATAATCGCTTCACAATGATAACACGTTGATTTCTCTATGGCCAGAAGGAGTTTATCATTAGTTGTTCATTGCTGATGGGGAATATTGTGTAGGCGATCAGTATTACAAGTGTTTTTCCTATTCTAATATGTCTGAGTCTAATGGTGGATGGCTATCAGGACGTGACTGGAGTCTGTTTAAAAATACAACAATGGCAATATAGAAATATACAGCGAGTACAATGTGTTTTTTTTTGTGTGTGTGTGTGTGTGTGTGTACGCGTAATAATATATGTGCAATGCGTGCCTCAATCGTGTGCGTGCAAGTATGTGTTTGTACGCTACTCACGTGTAGACTTTGAGAACGAAGTCCTTCTCCTCCTTCAGTTCTGAGATGGTCTGTAGTACATCACTCATGGCCAACACCGCACAGCCGTATGGCCTTCTGTACTGGACGTGGGGGGGACCCTTCTTAGAGTCATTCAGCAGCATCCGACCTGCACACAGACACACACACACACACACACACACACACACACACACACACACACACAGAGACGATACCTTATCTCAATCACATCATACGGTTAAACATTAGCATGACAAACATGATACACTCACACGTAAATAACCCTGTGTGAATATGCTAGCTGTGAAACACTGTAGCTAGACAAACAAACGTAACTATGCCTATCTGAGTGTGTATAACATGGATAGTCCTGTCTGAAGGTGTGTCTATAACATTAATAGTCCTGTCTGAAGGTGGTCTGTAACATTAATAGTCCTGTCTGAAGGTGTGTCTATAACATTAATAGTCCTGTCTGAAGGTGTGTCTGTAACATTAATAGTCCTGTCTGAAGGTGTGTCTATAACATTAATAGTCCTGTCTGAAGGTGTGTCTATAACATTAATAGTCCTGTCTGAAGGTGTGTCTATAACATGGGTAGTCCTGTCTGAAGGTGTGTCTATAACATTAATAGTCCTGTCTGAAGGTGTGTCTATAACATGGGTAGTCCTGTCTGAAGGTGTGTCTATAACATTAATAGTCCTGTCTGAAGGTGTGTCTATAACATGGGTAGTCCTGTCTGAAGGTGTGTCTATAACATTAATAGTCCTGTCTGAAGGTGTGTCTATAACATGGGTAGTCCTGTCTGAAGGTGTGTCTATAACATTAATAGTCCTGTCTGAAAGTGTGTCTATACTTAATGTCCTGTCTGAAGGTGTGTCTATACATTAATAGTCCTGTCTGAAGGTTGTCTATAACATGGTAGTCCTGCCTGAAGGTGTGTCTATACATTATAGTCCTGTCTGAAGGTGGTCTGTACATTATAGTCCTGTCTGAAGTGTGTCTATAACTTAATAGTCCTGTCTGAAGGTGTGTCTGTAACATTAATAGTCCTGTCTGAAGGTGTGTCTATAACATTAATAGTCCTGTCTGAAGTGTGTCTATAACATTAATAGTCCTGTCTGAAGGTGTGTCTATACATGGGTAGTCCTGTCTGAAGGTGTGTCTATAACATTAATAGTCCTGTCTGAAGTGTGGTCATAACATGGGTAGTCCTGTCTGAAGGTGTGTCTATAACTTAATAGTCCTGTCTGAAGGTTGTCTAAACATGGGTAGTCCTGTCTGAAGGTGTGTCTATAACATTATAGTCCTGTTGAAGTGTGTCTATAACATGGGTATCCTGTCTGAAGGTGTGTCTATACTAATAGTCCTGTCTGAAAGTGTGTCTATAACATTAATAGTCCTGTCTGAAGGTGTGTCTATAACATTAATAGTCCTGTCTGAAGGTGTGTCTATAACATGGGTAGTCCTGCCTGAAGGTGTGTCTATAACATTAATAGTCCTGTCTGAAAGTGTGTCTATAACATTAATAGTCCTGTCTGAAGGTGTGAAGGGGAACACAGAACACACAGCAGTGACAGCATCTGCTCTGTGGTCACAGCAGTTAGTCTGTCTGTGTGCGTGTGTTGCAGTATGTCTGCCTGTCTGTCTGTCTGTCTGTCTGTCTGTCTGTCTGTCTGTCTGTCTGTCTGTCTGTCTGTCTGTCTGTCTGTCTGTCTGCCTGCCTGCCTGCCTGCCTGCCTGCCTGCCTGCCTGTCTGTCTGTCTGTCTGTCTGTCTGTCTGTCTGTCTGTCTGTCTGTCTGTCTGTCTGTCTGTCTGTCTGTCTGTCTGTCTGCCTGCCTGTCATAGCCTAAACATCACCTGGGTCTGAGCAGACAGTAGAGGAAAAGCTTTGTGAGATTCTGAGAGTAACACAGGAACTACAATATACTGTATGTTAATTTGATCATCCTGTTGTCTAAGGAGTAACTGTGTATTCGAGGTTTAAAAAGTAGTGCTGAGCAATTACCTGAAATTAAACAACTAATTGACCAATGTCGGTTCAATTATTGGAATTGCATTTCATTGAGGGATAGAGAGCAGTTACTTCATGAGGTATCTCTACCTGATAATACATGATCTAAGTGATTGATAGTTGATATTCAGCAGTCAGTCATAAAAAGTATGCCTTATTTACTTTGAAGAACAACTAAAATATTGATTTAGTCAGACAACATAGGCAGCAGCTCTATAGAGATGAGATGATGACTTGGAATTAAATATTAAAGTAATCTACAGACTGGCTAATAAGTCTGGCTGCACATCTGACTGGCTGACTTACTGCAAATTGAGAAATGAGACTAAACACAACAAAAAGAAGAAAGAAAGAAAGAAACGGTATTATGAAGCCACGATAGATGATCTAAAAACACTTTGGAGTACTTGGAATGAAATTATGGGCAGAAAGACAAATTCAACTCCATTTTGTCATCGAATCAGATGGCTTATTGATCACAAACCATTTGATGTGACCAATTATTCTGATGATTACTTAAGTGGCAAAGTGGGCAAACTTAGGCAGGAAATGCCAACAATGAACAGTGAGCCATCGTACTCATACATAAAAAAACTAATAATGAAAGAAAAGCATTGTAAGTTTGAATTTTGTAAAGTTAGTGTGGTTGATCAATAATGACAAACCTCCTGACATTGACAACATAGATGGAAAGCTACTGAGGATGGTAGCTGACTCTATAGTCACTTCTATTTGTCATATCTTTAATCTGAGCCTAGAGGAAAGTATTTGTCCTCAGGCCTGGAGGGAAGTCAAAGTCATTCCGCTACCCAAGAGTGGTAAAGCGGCCTTTACTGGTTCTAACAGCCAACCAATCAGCTTGCTGCCAGCTCTTAGCAAACAGTTGAAAAAAAATTGTGTTCGACCAAATACAATGCTATGTCTCTGTAAACAAATGAACAACATACTTTCAGCATGCTTATAGAGAAGGGCACTCACAATGTACTGCACTGACACAAATGCCTGGCATTAAACAAAGCATGTGTGTCCATGTACACCGTATACGCATCAGCAACCACAGCTAATGAAGTCACTGAAACCCTTAAAGAGTTGCGGTCTGGTTTGGAATGGGTGACCAGTAATACACTGGTCCTGAACATCTCTAAAACTAAGAGCATTGTATTTTTAGTTCTAGACCTCAGCTGAATCTGTTAATGAATGGCTGTTGAACAAGTTGAGGAGACTAAATTACTTGGTGTTACCTTAGACTGTAAACTGTCATGGTTAAAACATATAGGTTTAATAGTTGTAAAGATGGGGAGAGGTCTGTCCGTAATAAAAAGATGCTCTGCTTTTTTGACACCACACTCCACAAAGCAACTCCTGCAGGCTCTAGTTTTGTCTTCTCTTACAGTATATTGTCCAGTCATGTGGTCAAGTGCTGCAAAGACCTAGTTAAGCTGCAGCTGGCCCAGAACAGAGCGCCACGTCTTGTTCTTCAAAGCAATCAGAGGGCTAAAATTATTACTATGCATGCCAGTCTCCCTTGGCTAAGAGTTCAGAAAAGACTGACTGCGTCACTTCTGGTTTTTATAAGAAACATTAATGTGTTGGAAATTCAAAAATGTTTGTACAGTCAACTTACACACAGCACTGACACACACACTTACCCCACCAGACATACCACCAGGGGTCTTTTCACAGTCCCCAGGTCCAGAACAAATTCAAGGACACGTACAGTATTATACAGAGCCATGAGTGCATGGAACTCCCTTCCATCTTATATAGCGCAAGTGAACAGCAAACCTGGTTTCAAAAAACAAATATAGCAACACCTCACGGCACAACGCCTCTCCACCAAGTCTTTTGTCTGTAATGTATTTTTCGTTATGTGTCGGACCCCAGTAAGTCTAGCTGTCGCCATTGGCGTCCGCTAATGGAGATCCTAATAAATAAAATAAAATAAAATAAAACAAATGTTATATACACAACAACTGAAATATTTTATTAAAGGAAAGTAATGTGAATAAATGATGGTTAATAAGTGATAAGCAGTAATGGGCAGTCACTACCATCATGGAACTTGAATGAATTGTTTTACTCTGTGTGATGTGTGTGATAGAAGGAGTCATTCCGTCGATAAACAGTTGCGCAAGCATGCGACAACAAAACTCAGGCACAGGGGAAATATCTACCCTGGCAACCACGAGGTAAGGGTAGCTCAACCGAGCTACACACAGCTCACTACAAACAATCACCCACACAGACAAGGAAGCAGAGGGAACACTTATACAATTACTAATTGGGGATAAGGACCAGGTGTGTGTGATAAATTGGACAAGACAAGTGGAGTGATGATAAATGGATCGGCAGCAGCTAGTAAGCCGGTGACGACGAACGCTGAAAACCTGCCCGAACAAGGAGGGGAGGCAGCCTCGGAGGAAGTCGTGACACTCTGTGTAGTTACAGAATTCAACCCACATAATGCATAGTGCATTTAATGTAAAAAAACGAAATCGAAAAAACCGTAATTATTTTTTAAATAATCGAACCAAACCCGAACTGACCTCAAAAATCACTAATCACTCAGCACTATTAAAAAAGCTTCTGAAGTTTGTAATTTCCACTTTGAAATTTCAGACTTGATTTGCCCTAACAAAAAAATATATCAACCGCTACAAAAAACATCCATTAATTATAATCCAGATAATAATTCACATTTCATGTTGCTGCAGGATAATTTTTCTGTGTTAGAAACTGGGTCAAATTAAGATTCGGAATCTGTAGATCTGTAAGACAAACAGCCAGAAGAAGAACTGTACTAAGATACTGGAGTAACTTAACAGAGGAAGAGAATCAGTGGGACGGATTACTCTGAATGCTTTGTATAAAACATTGAATTTACAGATAGATGTAGGACTACAAAACGTATGATAGAAGGAGAAAAAGAGCCCTTAGAGCCAACCAGAGAGATGACACAGTGCAAGAGTTAACACAAGTCAGGCCACTTGAGATGCTGGGGACACAGCAAGGTGACACGAGCCCATTTCCTCAAATTAAGAAACCTAAAACAGTGTACTGCTTTACTGTCTCTGTGTTCTGCTTCACTGAGACCAAAATGGCACCTTATTCCCTACAGTGAATAATATATACTAATATATACTAATAATAATAATAATAATAATAATATACTACAGTATAAAGTGCACTACATAGGGCCCTTAGAGCCCTGGTCAAAAGTAATGCACTATATTGGGAATATGGTGACATTTGTGACACGGCCATTGAACATCCAAGAAAGAGTAGCTTACCGGTTCTGATGACTTGTGAAACGATATACAGGTCCCGCTTCATGTCCTTATTGCTTAAATCCTGCACAGTAAAGAGGTGAACACGTGTGTTAGTGATGTCAGAGATAATAAACCCCATTACCATTATGTGAACGATTGTTTGATGATCATAAAAAATGTGTGTGTTTGTTTGTATGTACAGTTTACTGCGTGTGTGTGTGTGTGTGTGTGTGTGTGTGTGTGTGTGTGTGTTTGTTTGGACAGCTTACCGTGAACAGAGCACACCAACGATCAACCTTGTCTGGGTTCTTGAGACCTTCATTCTTGTTCAGTCTCACCATAAACTTCTCACTGAAATGACAAACAGAGACACATACATGGTGCACTGCTAACTGGCCACAGTACTAACAGTATTATAAACAACTGCATCGCAAAACAGACAGAGACCATCTAAGGAAAACAGTATATTATCACATTATATATTCAGCTTTATATTCAGCTTTTTGATAACAATGAATTATTCAATCCATAAAAAATGTAATGAGCCCAAATGTATAAATCTTATATGCAAATACTATATGTAATGTCTGAAATACACACACACACACACACACACACACACACACACACACACACACACACACACACACACACCACACACACACACACACACACACACACACACACACACGAACTCAATGCAACCGTCTGAGTCAGAAGGGGGTGGGATGCTGGGCTGCGATGGTCACAACATCTTCCATATTTATTTCTTATTAATATTATGTCTGCATGCTGCAGCTCCTCGTGACTCACAGAGACAAAGACAGCCGATCTAAAAGGAGACGACACCCACAAGGTTTATGTTTACACACCAGATACTGTCTGTTGGGTCCAGTAAGGACAAACCATCAGCACAATATAAATGTCGCCAAATGAGCAAGCCACTAGCCTATCTATTAATCTACACACCAACAGCAAGCTACTAGCCTATATATTAATCTACACACCAACAGCAAGCTACTAGCCTATATATATCTATCACTACACTATTATACTTATACTAGGAGAAACTAATCACCACCGCAGCTTACTAGTGTTACGTTTGCGTGCTCCGTGGGGCACCATTAATCACAGCCGGATAAATTGCATGTTGTCCCATGAGGGAAAATTCAATTTAAGGGCCAGCCGTGCTGCCCTGTTCTGAGCCAATTGTAATTTTCAGAGGTCCCTCTTTGTGGCACCTAACAGTAGTCCAGGTGCGACAAAACTAGGGCCTGTAGGACCTGCCTTGTTGATAGCGTTGTTAAGAAGGCAGAGCTGCGCTTTATTATAGACAGACTTCTCCCCATCTTAGCTACTGTTGTATCAATATGTTTTGACCATGAAAGTTTACAATCCAGGGTTACTCCAAGCAGTTTAGTCACCTCAACTTTCTCAATTTCCACATTATTTATTACAAGATTTAGTTGAGATTTAGGAACTGCTTATAGTTTTTGAAATATTTAGGACTAACGTATTCCTTGCCACCCATTCTGAAACTAACTGCAGCTCTTTGTTAAGTGTTGTAGTGATTTCACTCGCTATAGTAGCTGACGTGTATAGTGTTGAGTCGTCCGCATACATAGACACACTGGCTTTATTCAAGAAACACGAGCAATGGACATTAGACCGGTGGAAATTTGTCCTTTGGTCTGGAGTCCAAATTTGAGATTTTTGGTTCCAACTGCTGTGGCTTTGTGAGACGCGGTGTGGGTGAACGGATGATCTCCGCATGTGTATTTCCCACCGTAAAGCATGGAGGAGGAGGTGTTATGGTGTGGGGGTGCTTTGCTGGTGACACAGTCTGTGATTTATTTTGAATTCAAGGCACACTTAACCAGCATGGCTATCACAGCATTCTGCAGCGATATGCCATCCCATCTGGTTTGGACTTAGTGGGACTATCAATTTTTTGGTTACTACATGATTCCATATGTGTTATTTCATAGTTTTGATGTCTTCACTATTATTCTACATTGTAGAAAATAGTACAAATAAAGAAAAACCCTGGAATGAGTAGGTGTGTCCAAACTTTTTACTGGTAGTGTATATTTTTACATGAAATAATACTCCAGTCTGAACATAAACGACTTAAACCAGTTAGAACGTGTGTAGAAATGATAATGAACTTAAATAATAATGATTCAATCACACTGTACGTTTTTCCAGCAGCAGACTATGATCAATAATGTCAAAAGCCGCACTGAAGTCTAACAAAACAGCTTCCACAATATTTGCATCGTCAATTTCTCTCAGCCAATCGTCAGTCATTTGTGTAAGTGCCGTGCTTGTTGAATGTCCTTCCCTATAAGCGTGCTGAAAGTCTGTTGCCAATTTGTTTACAGTAAAATATTGTTCAAAAGAAAAGCTGCTTTTTTCTTTAACAATTGCTCTAAATCAGTGGGGGCTGCTGAAGGGGAGGACAGCTCACAGTAATGGCTGGAACGGAGCGAATGGAATGGCGTTGTATTTGAAACCATTCCACACATTCTTCTCCAGCAATTGCCACGAGCCCGTCCTCCCTAATTAAGGTGCCACCAACCCTCCTGTGCTCTAAGTGCAAGAAGTAACTGCATGTTAATAACATACTTAGTTTGAAGTTGAACTAGCACTCTGGGGTAAGCTAGCTATAGTGTGCAGGTGTTTAGCCAGGCTGATAAATGGAAGTAGTTTAGAAGTGCTCTAAGGTAGCTGGCTGAGGTATGGAGAATATCTCATCCCCAGGGGAGTGAGAGCTGTGGGGAACATGATACAGAGTCCGAGTCCCAGCACCTGCACTCTGAGAGCAGACTTTGATGAATGTGCTGTAGTGTGTGTGGTTTGAAGTGTGCATCCAAAATGGTCCCCTATTACCGAGTGCCCTTCTTTTGATCAGAGCTCCTGTGGGGGATTTATAGGGAATAGGGGCCATTTCAGACGCACACCCCAAACCGCACTACAGCACATTCATCAAAGCTGGCTGCCTGCTAAAGTCTGCTTTCAGAGTGCAGGTGCTCTCAAATGTCTTCCTCAGGGGAGGGATATGAAGACGCCCACCGCTCAGCGCTCAGCTAAAATGAGACTATTGAAACAATACAAGATCAAACGATACAGAAGGATTAGCATACATGCAGTATCTAAACATTTCCAGTTTGGAAAATGGGTAACGTTCAGACTTGATGCCATAATCAGGATATTATTTCCATTACACATTGTTTGTTTGCACAGAAAATTCAGAGAGGTTTCTGAATGTAGCTTTACCCAATCACAGGTGAGGGTGCAGTGAGTTGTGCACAGTGACCTGGAGAGCAGTGATATTTACAGTCTGGGTTCAATGGAGACATTGTTTTAATAAAAACTGAAGGTCATATGAGATGTTTTGTTGGACGCTAATAAATCTGAGTTTACAATGACATCATCCCTGAGTGGCGCAGTGGTCTAAGGCACTGCATCGCAGGCTAAGTGCACTAGAGATCTGGTTCGAATCAGGCTTGTCGCAGCGGCGCGACCGGAGACTATGGGGGGCACAATTGGCCCAGCGTCGTCCAGGGTAGGGGAGGGAATGGCCGGCAGGGTGTAGCGCAGTTGTAGAGCTGGCGTTTGCAACGCCAGGGTTGTGGGTTCGATCCACGGGGGGCCAGTTTAAAAATAATATGTTTCACTACATGTAAGTCGCTTGGATAGAGGTCTGCTAACTAAAATGTAATGTAATGTAAAACAAGGAGCTAGGAGAATCAGCAAGGGAAGGAACTAGGGATTATTTCATAAACAAAGTAGTTGGTGCTGAAGAGTGTGTGTGTGTGTGTGTGGTGTGGTGTGTTGTGTGGTGTGTGTTGTGGTGGTGTGCGTGTGTGTGTGTGTGGTGTGTGTACGTATATCATTCCAAAACTATGAGAATTCAACAGCTACAGAGGAACTCCAATGCTCTAGCGTTACTATAACAACCACAACAGATACAGCGGAACTCCATGTTCTAGCGTTACTATAACAACCACAACAGCTACAGCAGAACTCTATGCTCTAGCGTTACTATAACAACCACAACAGCTACAGCAGAACTCTATGCTCTAGCGTTACTATAACAACCACAACAGCTACAGCATAACTCTATGCTCTAGCGTTACTATAACAACCACAACAGATACAGAGGAACTCCATGTTCTAGCGTTACTATAACAACCACAACAGCTACAGCAGAACTCCATGTTATAGCGTTACTATAACAACCACAACAGCTACAGCAGAACTCCATGTTCTAGCGTTACTATAACAACCACAACAGCTACATCATAACTCTATGCTCTAGTGTTACTATAACAACCACAACATTACAGAGGAACTCCATGTTCTAGCGTTACTATAACAACCACAACAGCTACAGCAGAACTCCATGTTCTAGCGTTACTATAACAACCACAACAGATACAGCAGAACTCTATGCTCTAGCGTTACTATAACAACCACAACAGATACAGAGGAACTCCATGCTCTAGTGTTACTATAACAACCACAACAGCTACAGCAGAACTCCATGTTCTAGCGTTACTATGACAACCACAACAGATACAGCATAACTCTATGCTCTAGTGTTACTATAACAACCACAACAGCTACAGCATAACTCCATGTTCTAGCGTTACTATGACAACCACAACAGATACAGCATAACTCTATGCTCTAGTGTTACTATAACAACCACAACAGCTACAGCATAACTCTATGCTCTAGTGTTACTATAACAACCACAACAGATACAGAGGAACTCCATGTTCTAGCGTTACTATAACAACCACAACAGCTACAGCAGAACTCCATGTTCTAGCGTTACTATAACAACCACAACAGTACAGCAGAACTCATATGCTCTAGCGTTACTATAACAACCACAACAGCTACAGCAGAACTCCATGTTCTAGGTTACTATAAACAACCACAACAGCTACAGCAGCAACTCTATGCTCTAGCGTTACTATAACAACCACAACAGCTACAGCAAAACTCCATGTTCTAGCGTTGCTATAACAACCACATACAGGAAATATGTGAGGGGGATATTGGTTGGATAAAAATAAGAACATTCTTGTTTCCGGCTGCCCTCTCAGCCTACGCAGGGCTAGCACATGGACAGGTTGTGAGTGGGAGGGACTGCAGTTATGTTGTACTCAAATCAGAGGGAGGAGAGGAGAGAGGAGGAGAGAGAGGAGGAGAGTAGAGGAGAGGAGAGGGAGGAGTAGGAGAGGATGAGGAGCGGGGGAGCGGAGAGGCGAATATCGGTCTAGCTCTTCTGAGACGATCTTCGCTCTCTTCTCGATCCTTTCTTGACAAATGATATACTTCAGCCCACATTGATTTAAATATGACTCCTTGGTAACTAATACTCCATGGAAACTATAAAACTACCGGCACTCCTTTGGTCTCTAGGCAAACATCTTCATGGAGCCAGATTAGTGTGAGGAATCTGAGCCTGTCTGTCTGTTCCCGGGAGACTGAAAGGAACTTCCTCAGAACACACACACACTGTGTTTTTGGCAGCCCCCATCCACCAGAACTCGTCCAGAGACCAGCGTTCCCAGAATCACAGGAACAGTAAATCTTCCTCTCACTATAAGCTTTGTTGTTGTTTTTTCATCCCTCTACAGGGTTCTGAACG